TTGCAAGGCTACGACGGAAAGCTGATGGGATGATTCCATTTCTTTTTGTATGTACCAAGCCTTGATAATCTCTCGAGCTGTCTGATTATGATGCCGTGACATTGTGCTCGTTTCACTGAACTGAGGAATACAACCACACTGCCGACAATGCGCAGCCGTATGCGATAGGCCATCGCTACGTACACCCGTATCATGTTCTCTCATCCTAACATCAACACACCTTCCAGTCTGGCCTATATATGCCAGCTCAGTATGTATGACAGCTTTGTATGTCACTTCAGTGAAACCAGCAGCTCTTGACATGAAACAGCCATGACCACGGCCGCTGGATGAAACCGTGCGCTCTTTCATCCAGCGGCCGTGCCGTGACCTTCGGTCACCATTACCGCCAAAAACATTCGTTGTCATAGCCTTGCTCTTTAAGCAATTGCTTGGAGAGGTACGAAAGGAAGACACCTGGACAGAGTGCATATAACTCGGTTAAGATGGATTACCGACTCGCCCAGCAGTCTGTGCTTCTCAAATGGACAGGTACGACTGAATAAAACAATGGGGAAACTTATGTGCCCTTGCTGCATAGAAGGGTGCCAGATCGGGCTAGTTGGTACTCCGTGACCAGAGGCGTAATAGCACGAAACCAGACACAAGGGACGAGAAAAGAACGTACGTATCCGTTATTTTCTCGTCGCTTGTATTTGCTTCCTCGCTATTACGTTTTTGACGCCCGATTATGGGATGGGAGGGGGCATGTGCTTTCTCGTGCGCACACTTGTGTTCGTAAAAACATGTAATAAGGGTGGTGGTGGTGGTAGTGATTAGAAGAGGAAGAAGGTGCCTAACTTTCTGCAGCCTGGTAGGGAGCACGGCGTAGCGGCTGCGGGGACGGGAATGGGGAGAAAAGTGGATAGAAAAGAAAAAAGGTCAAGTAAGTAGTGGCTGCAGACGTCTTCACCACGAACAGCAGTCCGGCACATCAAGGATAGGGGCGGCAATAAGGGTGGTAATAAGAGTGTGTGCGGGAAAGCGCTACTCTCCTAAACCAGCGTTCTCCTTGCAGGTTGGAGTACAAGTACATGAAGCTGGTCCAGTCTAGCTCGGGCAAGGACGGCGAGCTGCCGGCGGCCGAGAGCTGCGCCATAGAGGAGGACGAGGAGGACCACTTCGAGAACGGTGGTTACGACGCCAAGAACAACAAGGGACTCCTGCAGAAGTTCCGCACCGTCCGCATCGGAAGCGGTAAGGTGAGTTTGTTGTTCGGGACAGGCATTCTTGTTCCGTTCTCTCGTTTACTGCGCTACTATCCTGTCCTATCTCGGACATGCCTGCATGACTGAGCGATGCGCATGCCCGTCTGCATGCAAAAAATTTTCTCAGATTTTTTTTCTTCCCTTGTTCGAGCACAGCCTTCTAAATTTAAGTTGTCTGTGAAAGCACGACTTCTCATTTGCTGCCGAGTTCACGAGAGCAGGCGGACCAGTAGTAATTAAGACTGTGTTTTTGCCGTGCCCATTAGGAACGCAGACTCCACCCTTTGGGGCATACCTTTGTGTCAATACAACAGTTCCATTCCAGCCTGTCTTGCTTGCATTTTTTTCATAGTGACACGAGCACTAAGTGACATCTTACTTTTCTCCCACGCACTTTCGGCCGAGGACTTACTTCCAGGGACGTAGGCGGAATTTTTTTTGGGGGGGAGGGAGGAGGGGAGGGGGGATCACCTTGATCTGAAGTAGGGGCCGGGCAGGCACGTGCGATTGAGCGTAATTTTGGGCTCTATATGCCACAATAAAAAAAAATGGGGGGGGGGGGTCACAGGCGTGGTGTGCCATCCCCTCGCGATACCACTGCTTACTTCCAGTTTTTCAAATATTCAGAAAGCCTTTTATAAGATAGAAATCGATGTGGTTCAAGAGTTATATTAGACACATACATCGCAGCACAACTTTACTTGAAAGACAATCAATGTCGGTGTAATTAATGAAAGTTGAATCATTTAGTCTGTTGAGTGTGAGCAGGTTAGGGAGCCGCACATGAAGGCTCCCAAGAGCAGGTGCGATCGTTGCGGCACCTGGTGGAGCAGATCTCAACTATGCACTTCTTTCTACACGGCCTCAGGGATCTTTAGCGGGGCACGAAAAACAGTCAATCTAAGCAACACGACGCATGAATGCAATGTGCGAATGCCACTGCCACGCACCCATGCGAAGGGTTAGGATCCCCTCCAGATATTTTGTTTGTTTTAGCATTAATGGATTTCGCATGTGCCCTTCATGTATTTCGACTATGTGGGACCCTTTACAACCTATCTTTCTATTCATTAAAACAAAGAAAGAAGATTTCCCTGGAGGGATGTTGCTGTACCAAAGATTCGATCCCACAATCTTATGGGGAAACTATAGCTACACTTTTTTTACTCTCTGTTTAAAAGGTGAAACGAAAGGCTGGACTGCATCAGGTTTCTGGCCATGTGATTCAGAGCATAGCTTCGCCATATACACAAACTTCTGCCTATTTTTGTGAGGACAATTGCAATGTTCATATGCTGATCGATTAAAGGCAAGAACACAGTTTTTGAAAGCTTATTCCTGTTTTTTCTATAGAGCATTTTTCATTTGCATTAACATAGAATAGTCTGAAGAAATTAGAATTTATGTTTTCTTATACTTTCTTTTTTATGCTTTTGAGAATGCCATGACTAATATTATTGATGCATGCGTCTATGTAACGTACAAGCCTAACATACCATTGAAGTCACACATCAGTTTCTTGATGTTTACATGATAGTGGACATGCTTGGTTGTGATAAGACTCAAGTATCAAAAAAAGCACTCTTTATATAGACACTGTATGTTATAAGAACTATTTGCATTAAACCTGCACTGTATCTTCATGAAACAATGAAAATTAATAGCTCTGTCAAGTTAGGATTCTTGGCATGGGATGATCTTGTTGTATGACCCTGTCACCTTGTTGGCACGCTGACCATTCTTATGTTGACTAAAATTGTGCTGGCCACACTGAAATGTATTATACAATTATGAATTACAATTCATACTACGAATTACAATTACACTGACAACAGTGCAACTAGGGACAGGAAGAAACACAGACGATCACTTTCTTCCTATCCCTTGTTGTGTTGTTGTCAGTATAATGGACCACCAACTTGCCCTAAGGTTTGCTCTCCTAAGTGAATTACAACGCATAAAAGTTGGATACTGTTTTCCAAGTGTTTTAGTGAAATGGAGCGGAAGGGGACATTCACCAAGATGGACAAGAACAAGCTATGTTCTCAATCATTTCTGGTTCCATCTTTCTTTGCACTGTTCTATAAAAAGTGCAAATGAATTCATTTTCACTACTATCACTCGATAATTTCAGATGCAGTAACATAAATGCTAAAGATGCTTTTTTTTTTTCAGAGTGGAGAGGGACACCACTTTGAAACTATCCATCTGACCAAAGGCGAGATGGTGTCGTGAAGGGGACCGGTGTTAGGCTGCGCTGCCCGCTCCAAGTCGACAACCAACTGTGACAACAATGACACTGCAGGAGCTTCACAAGGAAGGAAGGCAACACCAGAAAGCTCTTGTGCACCATTAAATCCCAAGGCACACCAGTTCATGTAATCGGTGTACAAACACAAGGCGAAAACATTCGTGTTATTTTTAGTATACTCAGTCGAATTTCTCATGACTGCACGTGCGTGTACAAGTGCCCCATTATGTCTAGTATATCATAAACAAAGCAACCAAAAAAGAAAATGTAAAATTTAAGCATACGCCCATGCAAGCAAGGTCATGTGTTTGGGTGTTGCAGCACTGTGAAATGTGAGTGCAAGGCTAAGCAGTGGTGTTAGTGGGTTATCACGTTAACAAGCACTGTTTTGTACAGGTGGGCAGAAATATATCATGTTTTCCTTTTTGAACGCGTTTGAATGTATTGTCAATGCTAACGCTTTGTTGTGTGTGTATCGATGGTGTTTTCTCAAGTGCTGCCACTTTTTTCAAACGATGTACCACGTGCGATCGACGTGATCGTGATGACTTAAACCTGTGTAGTCACTCTTCAAAGAAGACAGAAAAAAAAGCTTCTGCCGTACTTACTAAAGTGCCTGTTGTTCTCTGAAACTGTTTAATGGCATGACTGTTTCGTAGCACCAAAGATATACATACATACATATATATATACATATATTAATCGTGCACGCATGCTCGCTGTTGTTTTTCCAGCAGTTAGCAAATTGTCAAAACAAGAAGGATCCTGTGGCTGAGCATACTGCTTGTGGCTTCAATGTGGCCACCACAGGCTGACAAAAAAAACATGAGAGAGAGGAGACTTGCATTATTTTCATATGTGCCAGCTCTATTTGTGATAGGAAAGCAAAAACCAATGTGTTGTGCCTTCGCAATGGGGTTGGAGTGCACACACTTTTGTTTGTTTGCAGGCATATCTGAGTGGCCTCAATGCGTGGGCTGCGCACCATGTGATCATTTTGTATGCACCTTTGTCTCCGCGGAGGTACAAGTGCGAGAAAGGTGACAGTTCCTCTCGTGGGAGTATTAGAAGCACACGAGCATGAAAACATGTGATGTTATTGCATAAGAAGACAAAAGACGTATGCCCATACTGCTAGCGATTCAGAAGAATGAGTGCGAGGGTGATGATGGGATCAAAGGTTATTAGGCACTTGCACCTTTGTAAATAGGCTTAACACTTGTGGCCATGCGCACTTCAACTGTACGATGAAGTGGTCATTATATAGGAACTGATTTCCTGCGACACTGATCGACTGAAACTTTCCTCATTGAACCAGCTTTACGAACCTTGTTCTTAGAGTGAAGGTTAACATTAGACTTGCATAGCTCTAATTCGTTTCACATTTCTTACGGGATATACGCAAACAAGCAGGCAGAGGAAAATGGGTTATGTGCAGCTCTATGGTGTGGTATCATGTTGTAGCAAAGCTATTAATAAAGATTACAATAAATGCGCATGTATTTGAAATCAATTACTTGATTTTACTTTATTCAGTCGAGCCTATGGCACAAGTATGCCACAATCTATACACAAATAAGCACACGATAAGCAATGAAAAACCGACTCTTGATTTTAAAAAGTCCTACGGACAACATAGTTGCTAACATTCTATGGTGATTCCACACAATATCTTAATTCAACAACGCAACACTATAAATTCTGCGCACTTTCAAGTCGCACGCTGAATGATTTAAGATTTTACAAAAGCTAAAACACAACAAAGTAGTATACATTTTATGTACAGATTTGCATTATATATACTTGCCTTCAACACTATAAAAATTGTGCGCACTTGTGCAGCACACTGAATAATGCAGGATCACATTTGCATCTGAGGATATACAAGTAGGTCACGATATTTCAAATTTACAACATACTTAAGCAGGTTTGCATTGAGGCCGCTGCCTGGTTCTCATCATGCTTAACCTTGCGACGCTGGAGCTGCTGCTCAGCAAGAGCCATTTCCTGTTCCATCTGTGAATGGTGGTTTAAGGTCTCATCAAGAGAATATTAGCATGCATAATCACATGGCTGATTTTACTAGTATATAACCATGTGAACCACTTGTATTAGGCATTGCGTCCAAGGTGGCTTTAGGAGTAAATGCCTTACACTCTTACTTTGCACGACGAAAGACACTGTTGGAAATCAATAAGTATCAGATGATGCAGATATTGCAATGCAAAGACATAAAACACTATTAGAAGGCACAGGTTCTATGGTAGTCAGAGGTTATCTATCTTACAAACAAGGATAGTCATATAATGATACCTAAGAATGATATTTAACAGGATTTATGGTACTGCAGGATGAGCATATGACAGCACAGATCTCTTCATCTTTGAGATTGATGCCATGAATCATTGGGCACCTGAGAGCCTGTTGAAGGTTGGCATCACACTTTGGAATCAACAGACAAGACAACCCATTCGAATTGACACAGCAGCCTTGGAAAACCAAACAGATTTGCATTCCATGTTCCAAGATGTAAGCTATTAAGCCATCTGTGCTTTCCTCTTGCAGCTTTCATTGTGAAGTGTCCTCCTAAAATAAACAGGCAGAAAACACATTTGCAGTAAAAATTCTATAAGAGCTATGTGATGTGCAGATCAAAAGTAAGCACAAGTCTGTGTGCGTGGCAGAAGAGCTTCTGGCTGGTAGCCAAATGTGGAAGTTTCTTTACAACACCACTACTACCTGCTTCTTGAATTTGTCCTTGTAGCAATCGAGTGCTAACTGCAAGCATACCTAGTGGAGGTTAAGCGTAGCACTTGTGATTCACGGCATACTATAGTACATATAAGCTGCTGAAGTGTAAACAATATTACGTATAACTGTATTTATGGCAAAACAGCTAGTGTCAGCTAGTGTGCACTAGTATCAGGTGCACTATCTAAAGTCCAAACCTGGCTGGAGTTCGTCTGGGTGTAGCAAGGGCACCCTCTGGCTGGTAGCCAGGTGTCGCAATGCGTGCTGCACGCATTGAAGCCGCTGCCTGCTTCTCATCATGCTCATCCTTGCGACGCCGGAGCTGCTGCTCAGCGAGAGCCATCTCCTGTTCCATCTGTGACTGGTGGTCTCGCTGCATCCTATGTCGTGACCTGCCAGACTCACGCACACTGTAGAACATGGGACCAAGTTCAGCCAGCCAATTACCGTCCACAGCAGTGACACACTGCATGTATTCTTTCGTGGTCATGATGAGTTCGTGGTAGACAACATAGTCTGGTGTGTAGCCCATTCCAAAGAGTGCACTAGTCGGATGGAGGTGGCAAGGCATGCCTGTGCGACAGTTTATGTACTCTCCTATTCCCTTGAGTCGGGCTGCCTGGAGGAAGAAAGCAGAGCAAATGCACTTGCGGACCACATCCCAGTCAGTGCCACACGAGATGAGCTTCATCTTCTGCTGGCCCATAATGTCCTTCAGCTGCTGTCGCACTTCACGCACTTTACGCATGGACTTGACGTGAATGAAGTGCTCATTACACCAGGATGATGAGTAGTGGTTTATCTTCCACTGAAGGAACACGTTGAGGAAGGTCAGATGGTCGCTTTCGGGTACCTGAAACTTTTCTCGTGCGGCGTCGCTGTCTTCTTCCCGTCCCTTGGGTCGGTAGAAAATGCTGGGCACAGAGAGCATTGAAACTATGGTGAGAATCTCTTCGCTGCAGCCCATATCGCAAGAAACGATGACCATTTTAGAGAGTGGAGGATCGAGGGGAAATTCGACCATGTGCCGTCCCAATGGGGTCAAAGTTCCAACATTGTCCAAGGCCCCCAGAATCCACAGCTGATACATAGAATTCAATATGTTGTCCTGAGGTGGTGGATCCATGAAGTGAAACTGAAGTAGGTCTTGCACACCTAAAGACTTGAGAAGTAATACGACATTTGCAAGGTTAGTCCTTTGGATCTCTGGCACAGTTGTTTTAAGCAGCTCATTCTTATACTGGTGATCTGTGTATAACCTGAAACATGTCCCTGGTCCTGTACGACCAGCTCGTCCGGAGCGCTGGTTTGCATTTGCTTGGCTAACTGGGTATATTTGCAGTGCATCCATACCAATGCGAGGGTTGTATACTTTCAATTTGCAGTAGCCACTGTCAACAACAAAGCTAATTCCATCAACTGTAAGTGAAGTTTCAGCAATGTTTGTTGCCACTACACACTTTCTTACTCCATCTGGAGCCTTCTGGAAAATCTTTGCTTGAAGGTCGCTAGGCAGCTGGGAATAAATAGGCAAAATGGCTAACTGGGGCGCATTATCAATTTCACCAAGTCTCTCTGCAATAAGCTCACAGGTCACTTCAATATCTTCCTGTCCGGGCATGAACACCAATATGTCCCCAACTTGGGGCTGCAAGTGAATCTGAAGTGTTTGCTTAACAGCAGCATCTACATAGTCCTTCAACAGGATTTTTGCTGAAGAAAAGTTCAACAGGAAAAGTTCTTCCGGGAATGGTGTACACAGGTACGCTGCCAAAGAACGTGGCAAACTTTGTGGCATCCATAGTTGCAGATGTAACAATGAGCTTCAAGTCCTGCCTGCGTGCCACCACTTCACGAAGCAAACCAAAAAGCACTTCAGTGCTAAGAGACCTTTCGTGGGCTTCGTCCATAATGACAGCACTGTACTGATCAAGGTCTGGCTCTCTTAAGGACTCCCTCAAGAGAATACCATCAGTCATGTACTTGATTATCGTCTTCTCACAAGTGCAGTCTTCAAATCGAATTGCATAACCCACTTCTTCACCCAGCTTGCAGCCCATTTCGTCCGACACTCGCTTTGCTACGGACATGGCTGCCACTCTTCTGGGTTGTGTGCAACCAATCATGCCATACTTGCTATACCCATCTTCATGAAGGTACTGGGTTAGCTGTGTAGTTTTTCCAGAGCCTGTTTCACCAACAATGATTACAATGCTGTTCTCCCTGATGATGCGCAGAAGCTCCTGTCGTGCTGCAAACACAGGCAAATACTGTCTCTGCTGTATCAACGTCTTTTTCCGTGAAAATTCGCTGGTTCCCTGACTGTCAGCATCTTTGATGTGATCAGCAAAACGCTGCTCAGTCTTGTAGTCAGCTTCTTCTTTGTCGTCGCGCTCGTCCTCTTTTTTGCAACACCCAAAATGTTGCCCAGTTTGGTGCCTGCCAGCTCCCATTCTTTCTTCTGAGCTTTCTTGCGCTCCTTTTGTTCTCTGTAGAAACGAACCACCGCGCTGCCTTTGCGAGACACAATGGCCATGTCAGACGTAGCGTCTTTCACAGGAAGCACTGGTTCGGGCTGTTTTGTAAACACAATGCGCCCATCAAGAAACGGCGGCACAATGTTGTGCACGAGAACATGCACCTTTGCCTCGTTCACTTCCTCAAAGTCATTGTTCACATCAACTTTGAGCACTACACCACTCGTGAGCATTCGATTGGTCTCCCACTTTTCGTTATCTTTGTTAATCTGCCTCTGTTGAGCTGAAACCTTCTTGATTTTCTTCTGCTCTAGGGCTTCCTCCTTCTTCTTGGTGTACTCCTGCGGTATGCTGGCGAACGGGTTGTGCACCTCGTCGTAGCCTTCGTCGAGGCTGTACCACTCACGGTCTAGCCTCTGCTGCTCCACCTCCCACTCTACTTTTTGCTCACCATCCTCGTTCCACGGAATCTTCTCGTCTTTGCCGCGCTTGCTGCCTGGCGTAGCGTACGTCTTGCGCCTGTCGGCGGCCCAGGCGTTGTACTTGTGAGCTGGCGTAGCGCGCGGTGTGTCCGTCGGACGTCGGTACCTCCTGTCCGTGCTGCGCCGGTCGGAGCCATCGCGAGGTGACGGCGTGAGCACGTCCCAGGAGGACCGTCGCGATGGCGTGTCCTCGTCTTCCTCCCAGTTAGAGCGCGACGGCGTGTCCTTCGGTCGAATATTGGGCGTAGGGGGGTCCTTAAAACGCGGCGGCGTTTCGCTCCAGTCTCTGCGAGAACGGTGCGACGAGGAGCGCCCGGAGTCGCGCCTGTCGTCCCGTCGATCTCTGTCCCGATCCCGAGATGACGGAGGTTCGGGACGCTTCCTCGAGTCCTTCGAAGATGCGTAAACGCCACGGTTATGCTGCTCGCGCTGTTCGCGAATACGCTCGGCATACTTAGCGTCCACTCCACCGGTGTGTGTTGGAGTCTCTATACGTGGTTTCCGGTACTGCCTGTTAAACGTCGACTCCGATCTATCGCTACTTGACTCATCACTACGATCACCATCTTTGCGAGATTTTTTGGAACTTTCTTCTCTTTTTCTTCGAGTTTTGCTTCCTTTTCGCGGCCGCAAGAACATCAAGGCCGAGGACAGACTTCCTCTGGACGGGAGCTTTGAACTCGTGAACAGACTTCTTTTTGATGAGGCCACCCACCTTCTCTTCGATGCCTTCTAGGCGATGTATGGACTCGAATTCACTCATAATAAGTTGTTTTTCAGAGCTATCCTCGACACATGATTTAGAACGACAACGTACTAACACAGAACACCTATACACTTAACGTGTACGCACTCAACAATCAACAACGCGATCCGGCCATGGATCCGGCTGTGAGATATGGCTACGGCTGCAATCGGATCGAAAATGGATGTCAAAACGCAGTATACCAAAAGCAGCGCAAGTCGGGCCGGGTCATGTAAACACTGGGCTGTCGGCGTCGTGCTAGTCGTGCGTGCGTTGCGTAGTCGTAGTTGTGTTGAACCCTTCCGCGCTGGGTTCGACATGGAGACTATTTTGGAGCAGCAGCGCCGGTATCATGAAGAAAGAGAGCGCCTAATCGATGCCCAGGCAAAGGAAATGCTTCACCGAAAGTCCACCGTGAGTAAAGATTACTCATCTATGAGGTGCTGTACTGCCGCCGGTACCCGAGTCCGTGTCTTCGTACAGATGACCAATGGAGCCACGACGTTTCTCATTGTTTTTCAATTGTACTTGTTTCAGAACAGAGAACAGATAAATTCTGATCATCGTCTAAAAATCCTGCTTGATGTAAGTATCGCTTTGGCTGTAGTTGTGAGAGTTTTTTTGACATTAATACGTTCGCTCGCTCTTGCAGAGGTATATGGAATGCACGTCGCATTTGAAAGAGCTTTATGAAGATAAAGACGGGTAAGTTGCCTTGGCGTTTAGTCATCAACTGCATCTATTGTATGCTTGTGTTCCTTTGGCTTCTTGTAGGCTTCGGAAAGAAGAAATAGCAGCTCTCTCTGGGCCGAATGAGTTCGCCGAATTCTACTCCAGGCTCAGGAATATTAAGGAATTCCACAGAAAACACCCAAATGAGGTTTGTTTCGTCCGATGACACGTCGGGCGCAACAGGTTAACTCGTTCTTTGAACTTCCAGATACAAGTGCCCATGTCAGTGGAATTTGACGAGCTAAACAAGGCAAGGGAAAATCCGTCAGAAGAAATGATGAGTAGGTTTCATTTCTGTATTTGATGTTACATCTGACTTTTAATTTGAAAGCACCTACTTGCAACTTCTGAACGGTTAAGATACGAATAGATGTTTAAAAGCATCTTTTACCGTGGTCTTTGCTCCCAATATTCTGCAAATAAGTATACAGCGATGCTCTGACAGTTTGATTGGTGTCTGCTGTCGTTGACACACAGTATTCGATCTTTAGTTATATAGATGTCAGCATTTGCATTATCATTTGAGAGTGCAATAGATTACTGTTTTAAAGTGCCTTGCAAATTTAAGGGCAGATATACATGCTTGATGCCTTGTAGATCATTCAAATGTATTTATACACATGTCTTTTAATCACATCCCAAGTGAAACTCTAGTGTTGCATTTGAATCTTTGCGGATACAATCAAGGCAAGTTATTCCTGTGTATATAACATCTATTGCTCATTGTGTTTCTATCCATTGGCTCTTCCTTTAATGTGAAATTACAGCTTTTGAAAGGAACGGCAACACGTATAGGCAGATACCTTATTGCCAAAATAAATTTTTGTAGCATTCTGTCTGAACAGAACCTACACGTTCTGCTGTTCACATTTATTTTCAAGTACTTGTAACCCGGCTGGTTATAAAGAAACACGTCTCAGCCATGACACAATCGAGGCCTGCTCCAATGTTTTTGTCATGCCATCAAAGTAAAAGCATTTAGAAACACAAGCTTAACAGCAGAGCATTAATTCTTCACACTGTTTGCATTTATTTCGATTGCCCTGATATATGAACTCACGCTTATTCATTGTGTCTTTTGTAGACCTCGTAGACTTTACAGATGAGGAAGGATATGGCAAGTACCTCGACCTTCACGAGTGCTATGAAAAGTATGTCAATTTGAAAGGCATTGAGGTAAGTAGGTTGACTATTACTTGTCTAAGTCTGTCACTGTTCACTGTACACTATGTCTGCATCATTTCCTTTTAGAAGTTGTCTGTTTGCAGAATGTTTATGTACACATATTTCTAGCATACAGGGAACGGTAACGAGCCACTGCCTGTCTGGTATTATGAAGACCTAATATAGTGTACCTAATGATACCAAGTTCAGTTTTTCACTTTCTTGAATCATACGCTGATGTAATAGAAAGTGTAATACCATCAGGCATTACAGTCGAAGTTGCAGTGCGTATGTCGGAATGTGATATTATCTACAACTTCCTGTTGAATCCGTGCTGCAGTGGTTGAGCTTAAGGGTGTATTATTGAGAGTGTTTATATGGCCAATCAAACACCATAACTTGCTCCTAATTGACCTATAGGAACCACCTTCTCAACCTAAGAATGCGGTAAAGGAAAAGACAGAAAAAAAGGAGCAGATGCACCAGTTGATTAATAGAATGATTCTGAGCTTCTTTTGTCAGCCTGAAATTGAGTTGTAACCGACATGTAATTACTTTGTGTATTTCTCTTTGTAGAAAGTGGACTATCTCTCATACCTGTCGTCGTTCGACCAATTGTTCGATATTCCCAAGGACAAGAAGAACTCCGAGTACAAAAAGTGAGTATGTTCTATCTCCTGTTTGGCCTTTCTCTTTATCACACTCGTTTCAACTCTAGGTATCTTGACTGTCTCCTTGATTACTTGCAAGACTATGCACTTCGAGTGAAGCCCCTTCTCGACATTAACCAGGTGATTCATTATTCTGCATTTCCTTCCTTACTACATTCCCTTCACAGTCATGTTACTGAAGTGAATGACTTTAGCACGAAAGATTTGCCATCTTCTCAGCTGATGTTGTAATGCTTTGCAGGAAATGGAAAATGTGATGAATGACTTTGAGAAGCAGTGGGAAGCAGGGACTTTCCCAGGATGGCAGGTTGGTTGCACATATCTCGTGTCTTTGCCCTCTGATTGTACACAACAGTACTAAAGTGTTGACAAATATAAGGACTCAAAAACACTTTCAAGTTGTTCATCAATGCTCAGTTTGACTAAGTTTACCTGTTAAAGGTTGTTTATATTTTTGGGTCGGTTCGGTTGCTGTTAGCCCTGTTGTGGACAGTCAGTCAAATAGGTATGCAGTCAAAGTGAAAAAAGAAAAAAAAACAATACTGCTTTAAGGAAGGCCATTGCTTTCGGGACCACTGTTTTGTGTGTATGTCGAAGTAAATTTGATTTCATTTGTTTTTAAGCTTTCGTGATATTACAACACAGTTTCACTGTTTTCCTTTCAGAAAGAGGCAGGAAGTGCCTTAGCACATGCTGGAGCTCACTTGGACCTTTCTGCATTCTCTTCTTGGGAGGCAAGTATTCCTTGAGACTGTGATATTATTAAAAGAATTGTGTTGGTTTGCATACCTAATAATGCCAAAAAATAAAAGGATAAGGCAACTAATGCCCCTACACTTAAACTATGGAGTACTTAAAGGGACACTAAAGAGAAAAAATGAGTTCATTATTAGCTTGATAAGTTGTACTTTGACAACATTGATGTTGTTAATTTCACCATCATTGGTTTAGTAATAGAGGAGGAAATCAAGTTTAAGTTCAATTTTTAAGTTTCATGCCAAAACCTCCACGTATGATCTCACGAATTAGAAAGTGTATATTGTGAATTGGTGTCGTTGGTTCCACAGAATTCATTCATACTTGGTATTTTATGTCTATGGTCCCCGCGAAGAACACTTCGCTTTGTTTTTACCGATTAGGAACATTGTCGCCCTCAATAGGTGTTGCAAAATATGGGACGTCACAGCAAATGGCGCGGGAACTGTCTCCACTCACACTTTCTTTTTGCGCGTTTTCTCGCTTACCAAGTGTCTTCGCACCGTGAAACAGCACCGTGAAATGTACCGTGAAACAGCAGTTCACTAATACGAAAAAAATTGTTCTGCTCTTTAGCGACCTTTTAAAAACACATTCAAAAGAGCATTAAGTTAAACCACATCAATTAACTTTTTTTACATACGTAGCATTTAAAGAAACATAATGACTCTGCCTTGCAAACTCATAAATTTTTCGGTTGTGATAGTAGTCGAATTGTATAATTGCTTCACATTTTGTGACTTGTCAATGCACCCATTTCTGAGTCGGTAAGTAGGTGAAACTTTATTTTTCTTTTGTGGGAAAAGGGGCAAAATTCAGTAAGGAAAAGATGAGCCATTTTCTTTTTAATATGAATGGCTTGCCACCGAGTGAATTAAAATAGCCATTCAAAGAATACTGTACTGGTGTAAGCTGATTTATTGCATCTTTTAGTCTGCTTTTGGCAAACATACACATGGCACTGCGATTTCGAGATGGACAGGAGGCTAATTGGCAGCTAAGGGCAAATAGAGTATTCTAAACCTCTTTCTGATGTTATTCAAGCTGATGGTACCTTTTAGTGTACGCTGACTCAATTAATTTCTCAAGGCAATCATTTTAAGCATTTCAAAGGTCACTTGACTTGTCCCGAATAATTGTAAGCTGTTGACTTGCCACCTTGCGGAAGTGCTGTAGATAGGCGCCCGTGACGGCAGTTCACTGGCTCAGTTGCACTTTCAGCGGCCTCATTTACGTTGGGGTAAACTGCAGAAACACTGCGTCCTGTGATGACTGAGAGCAGCAATGGGGCTCGGCCCCGGCTAGCACAAAGGCAGCTAGAGCGAAGCAAAGGAAGACGAAGTAGAGAATAGAACAGCTGGCCCAGGAATGGGTGCTGTCTCTGTGTCTGTTTTATATTGCACAACATATATTTAGATGCACAAATAAAGTCTTTTACTACAGCCTGCCTCATAGCCAAATTGTGGTTTTGGCACAATAATAATGATAATAATAATTGGAAGTTCAAGATAGCTCAGTGAAGTCGAAACTTGGGCCAGTATGTAACAGCTCATGTTTACGTGCGACGCAGTGCACGGGGGTGGCACAAAAAGAATGAAACGACAGGAGGTCGTTGTGCCATGGCTGTTCAGTCGTTTCATTCCTTTTGTGCAATGTCTTCATGCACTGAATGGCACACAAACATGGTTTTACTGTAAAATTTCAAGCAAGCGCCCCCTCACTTATTCGAGAGATTTCAAACATGCTGCCTCTTCTGCCCTCTGACCGATTTCGCTGCTTCATTCACTGTTTTTATTCATCCAAAATGG